GAGTGACTGAGCACCCACACAGCCTTTACCTATAGTTGCTATATAATGAAATGTAAAAGTGGTAACATTTCATTCTCTTTCCTTCATTTGTTACCTATAGCTCTTTCATAAAGGACTTTGCTTAACAGTTGATTCATATACGAAAGGTAGAATAAACGATCAATTGTTGAACTTTTTCAGTATTCAGAGTGAGTAAATTCCCTAGCATCCTCCAAAGGATCCTCCAAGGTCAGTGAGATTTTTACTAAGTATCATGTGAACTAATGGATTTTAATACTTGCTTTAATCTAACTCAGCTCTTTGTGGTGCCCAAGTTGCCTCATCTCTGTCTGGCCTGTGGAAGCTCCTTCAAGTCGAACCTGACTTAATGAGGATTTCTTTACATTCAGGTACAACAGGATGCCCCAAGCTCTCCTGTTTCCTGCCCAGGACTGGATTCAGCCATTTCTTTTTTTTTTATTTTTTATTTTTTAATTAATATATTTATTTATTTTACTTTACAACATTGTATTGGTTTTGCCGTACATTGACTTGATTCCGCCATGGGTGTACATGTGTTCCCCATCCTGAACCCCCCCTCCTACTTACCTCCTCATCCCATCCCTCTGGGTGATCCCAGTGCACCAGCCCCAAGCACCCTGTATCAGCCATTTCTTTAAGGATCTTTGGCTCTTTAGAGTGTGTAGTTGGCTGTTGATTGATACTTGTTTTGATTGTGTTTCTAGGTCTTCACATTGGAAACAGCTAGGAAGTTTGTACTGATACTTCCAATTAATTTTAGAGTTGAAAGGCTATCATTTAATCTTTTATTTCTTCTCTTATCCGAGAATCATAGTTCTGATAATGTCAGCATTACCTTGCTTTATTCTACTCATATGATGGTTTCAGACTAACAGTGCTACTGCTATTGCAAACAATATTAGTGAAAAGTTGGTGTATTTTTTACTTTGTCCTTAGTAGATAAATATAACTCCACTGGGAATATAGAGTTAATTTAGTGTATTTTCAAGTCACTTAAGAGTTTGTATTTAAGCCACTTTTTTCATTTTGCTTTTGATCTTTAGCGATTTATCACATTTTGTAAATTTATGATCATGTGAAACATTACGCGGTTCTAAAGGAAAAACGTTGAAACAAGTACATTAAGAAAAGCAGTGTCCATCTTGGTTCCTGCTAGCCTATTTCTTGTCTCTTTTTGTGGTAAATGAGTTTTGGTTTATCCTTTTATCTCAAAATATAAGTATTTGTGTGTGTGATTACATATATACTCACACATATATACACACTTATATATGTACACATATAAGTCAGTTCTGTGTCCGACTCTTCTGCAACTCCATGAACTGTAGCCCACCAGCCTCCTCTGTCCATGAAATGTTCCAGGCAAGAATACTGAAATGGGTTGCCATTTATGCCTCCAGGGGATGTTCCCAATCCTGGGATCAAACTTGTGTCTCCTGCATTGGCAGGTGGACTCTTTACCACAGAGCCACCTGGGAAGCTATTCTTCAGGCACAAATACTGGAATGGGTTGTCATGCCCTCCTCCATGGAATTTTCCTGACGCAGGAATTCAACCCAAGTCTCCTGTTTCTCCTGCATTGGCAGGCAGGTTCTTTACCACTAGCACTGCCTGGGAAGCCCATGTACAGATATATTTATTTCAACACATACTTAATTGGTAGAAGATAAATATTGTTTGCATCTTGGGTTTTATGAGTTAATATATCTCTCCATATATATGTATCACTCCAGCAAATGTCATATTCCTTTCCATTATATAACTGTATCTTGTAGTAAGTAGTTTCCTATTGTGGACATTTGGTTATTTCTAGTCCTGCTGTTACAGATAGTGCAGCTATAAATAGTCTTGTGTATGTGTCTTTTCATGGGGTATTTTGTTTCTTAATGTTTGGGACAGATTCCTAGAGTAGAATTCCTGGATCAAAAGGTAAATACATAGGCAGTTTTGCTGGGTATTGCCAAATTCCCCTCTTCAAGGAGACCGTACCAGTTTGTATTCCCATCAGCAGTGTTTGAGAATGCCTGTTTTCCTACAGCCTATGAACACATTGTTATCAGGCTTCACAAAATGTTTTAAGTAGATCTGTGTTTTAGAGTCTTTGGCAAAAGTATGGTGGAGTCTAAGGAGTCTAATAAAACAGTGAGATGAATTGGCCTTGACAGCCTCAGAGAAATGCAGGCCTTTACTGAGGATATAGAGTTACATTAAAGAAGTGTTGACAGTATGTGTAAGGACGACTTAGTAATGATGGAGAACTTGGGGATAACTTCAGTTTCTGGGAGTATGAAAAATTTACTGTAAAGAATATTGAGCATCAGCAGATTAGAGGATGGGGGAATTTCTTGAATTTGAGGCGCTCCTGAAATACATGTTAGAGATGTAGTTGGATATATGAATCCGAAGAGAAATTTGGGTTAGAGCATTTTAGTCATCCCTGTGTGATGTTAAGATATGTGTAAATGAAGATGCTGAGGAAAAGAATAGAAGTGATAATTGAGCCCCAGCATGTTCATGACTTTGGTAAAAATAGTTTTATGGGTCCTTTCCATGTCTTCTTACTTAGCAGCTGACTTAGCATCTCTGGCTATACTTCGTTTTCAGGACTTTTACACACTATACATAAGGACTGTGTATTTGTATGTTCTACAATGTAATTCTTTTCTGAAGTCATACAAACTTAGGGCAAACATAGCTTAAATTCCTTTGATGTAGGGAATGGTTTATTTTGACTCATCTCCAGTAAACATGATTTTATATATGATTTTAAAACTTTTGTTTAAAATATTTCCATTCTTGGTATCTAACTTTGGCAATCATAGGCAAATGGAGAGTTCTTGCCAGTGAAATACCCTTTTTTTCCCTATATTAATCATACAGGAGTATATGATAATGTCAGGATGTAAAAGTCATGTTACAGCTGAGAAAAGGATCTATAAAAGAATAGTTTTCTATTCTATCATTTATGGCCTTAAAAATATTGAGTCAGGAAACACCTTCACTACTTTAGAATTAGAAAAGCCCTGAAATAGCTGGTTAAAATTCTTCACCATTTTAGTTTTCAAAACAACCATATGGGCTAGTTAGTTAACCATTCGGTATGTTTTATACATGAGAGATAGTCACGTGTAAACTAAACACAGGTAAAACTAAAACAGTGAAGTTTGGTAACTTTCCCAAGGATACACAGTAGTAGGAAGCTAAAATTGAATTTAAACCCAGGCAGGTTGAAAATAGAACATATTTTGAGTGTAGAGACAGGATGATAAAGGATTCAAAACCTTATGTAAGTTGAAGGAAATTCATTTATAATGTTTTATACTTAAAGGGGGGCAGGGTGACCAACTTAGACCGTCAAGGATTGGGTCTTTAGTGGAGACAGTGTGTAGATTTCTTCCTGGCACTTCAGCTGTGGAACTCATTGTGTTTATCTTTGGTCTAGTATCAAGTATATTCTCTTTCCTATGTCAAAAACAAAGTGACTTTTTTTAGAGTTAGAGCTGCCCTCTTCTCACTTACTGTCCAAGCAGAGGTTGCTTGGAGGCTTGTGGTAAAAGGGAATTGTAGCACTGAGGGTAAATGGACCAGATCCTTTTTAAGGCCCCTTGCTAATCTGAGGATTTTTTTCTTTTTCTTCTCTGCTTAACTAAAATTTGAAGAAGTTTTATTAAACTGAGCGATTAACTAAAATCCCACCAGGATTAATACCCATTTATTATAAATAAGTTAGACATACTGTGAGAGTCCTAGGCCTGCATAGTACTTGTTTGATTTGGAAGAACCGAGACAAGCTGCTAGAGCTGCTTCCAACTTCAGGCTCACTTACATTTTGAGTAGGTCACTCAATTGGTTAAGGGTTAATGGTCTCTTCCCTTAGTTAATACCTTGTTAATGCCCTCAAAAACCACTGTGATACTGAACAATTCTTGTGTTTCTATGTAGCACAGTAGCTTATCAAAGTTGAGTATGCTTGAGAATTGCTGAGAGGATTTGTGAAAATAGACCACTGGGCCTCACTCCCAGAGTTTGAGTCAGATCAGAAGTGGAGTTAGGAGTTTGCATTTATAGCATGTTCCCAAATGGAACCACTGGTTTGAGAACCACTACTACAGTAGTTTGACCTACCCCAGGAGACTGAGTTTTCCAAGAGCACGAACCAGAAATTACTTGTTTCCTTATCCCTCTACTAGCAAGCAATACATAAAGACAACAGATCTTATTAATGTTATAGAAACCACTGTGGACTGTTACATTGCTGTTTTTGCCTGTGGATACCAGGTGTTAGGCCCCAATTTGAGGAACCTTCTTTTAAGTTCAAGTCAGGTTTAGGTTTGTTAAACCTTTAGAAATGCAAGTAAGATCAAGATTCTACTGGAATTCTTTCGCATGGGCTTCCCAGGTGGCGCTAGTGGTAAAGAACCTGCCTGCCAATGCAGGAGACTTTGAGACGCGGGTTCGATCCCTGGGTCAGGCAGATCCCTGGAGGAGGGCATGTCTCTCCAGTATTCTTGCGTGGAGAATCGCATGGACAGAGGAGCCTGATGGGCTACAGTCTGGAGGGTCGCACAGAGTCAGACATGACTGAAGCAGCTTAGCACTCATGCATGTTCTTATTTTGCATAAAGCAAATGGCAGAGCTGGATAAACTAGTTCCAAGTTCAGGAAGAGATCAGCATCTAGTCTTACTGAAGTAATTTTTAAATGTGGGTTAAGAAAATGTAGAAAAGAAGAACTTGGTTTTCTTACCTACTCCTACTCATCATTCCCCACCAACTCCCTCCTCAAGCTAGTTAAGAATGACTTACTAAGATTTTAACAAGACTTGTTTATTCTGGCATTTAAAATCAGAAATAAATATCATTTACTTAAGTGCCATTAAGAATAAAAGTATTAGGCTTTTATACATATTGCATATAATTTTAGTCTTCCATGCTGATAATCATAATCATAAGCAGTATTCTGTGATTCTTTCTCCTCAGATATCCGGAAAGTGGTACTGTAGAAATAAATGTCAAGGATCTTCGACCACGAGCTAGAACCACTTTGAGATGGAATGAACTAAATATTGGTGATGTGGTAATGGTTAATTACAATGTAGAAAGTCCTAGTAATAGAGGATTTTGGTTTGATGCAGAAATCACTACATTGAAGACAATCTCAAGGACCAAAAAAGAACTTCGTGTGACTGTTTTCTTGGGGTAAGATTCTCTTCACTGATGCCATTTAATTACTGAATTAAGGAATGTAATTTTTAAGTGTTAAGCACATGTTCTTTAATTTAAAAAAAAGATGGAATCCATGAAAGATGGAAATTTCCATACTAGAAGAAAACTTTTTAATAAATTTCTTGAATTTTTTATTAAGAATGACCCTTAAATCTCTATTGCTACTTTAAGGCTGGAGGTATTATTTAAAAGCACCTTGGAAATAATTGAACAAGTTATTAGAGAAATTTTTGCCTACTGTACAGGATTCTACTAGGCTAAACCAATAATATACAGAAGTGTTTCAATAGCTATGTTTGCTGTGAAGATCTGTTGATACAATAGAAATGAATGTCTACCTAGCCAGCTGTCTGCTGTACTTGCAAGACTAGCAAAAATTTTCCTTTATAGTAATTTTATTTAACTTAGGAACTTAAAACCACCTTTGAAAAGAATTTAAAAGGTAAAATGTCACCCAAGATTTCATATCACTCAGATACTTCCATTGTTAATTCTTTAAGAAATACTTTTAGTTATTTCCTTCAAGTGATTCAAGTACTATACATTGTTTCCAAGTTGCCTTTTTACACTTGGAAAAATGTTGTCAACACTGTTTTGTGTTCAGTTCTTCTGAATAAAATGTATTGGATAAATAGTCACTAATTTACTTTTAAAAAAAAGTCTGCTAAAGTATTTCCAATTCTTTATCACGATGCTTAAGTAAAAACCTTGTGTGTGCGTTTTTGTGCATTTTTCTTTAGAGTGAATGCTTAAAAGTACATCTGTTGTGTTGAGCATTGCAGATACTAGAATGACCCTGACAGTTTTCTTTTACTTAAGAGAAGCAGCCAAACTAACATACTTGTTAAATTCTGGTTAAAATTCTGGTTAAATGCATTGTACATATATATGAGGGATACATATATATCTAGTTTAACATTGAGGTGACAAATCTAAGATTAAGCATCTGCTTATGATGAGTAATATAATGCAGAGGTTGGTAAACTATGGCCCATTGGCTACCTGTTTTATGAAAAGAAATTTTTATTGGAACACAGCAGTGCCCATTTATGTTTTAGCTAAGACTGGCTTTTTTGTCTGTGTGCTCAACAGCATTGTTGCATGACTGCAAACATGAAACTTACAGAATTTTAAACTACTTACTCTCTGACCCTTCATGGAAGAAGTCTGCTGACTCCTAAGATAAAAAGATTGTGAGCTTTTATTTTAGAAAACCATCTCAGAACTTTGTGCAAACCCAAATGTGATTCTGTTGTCAGGCTAAGGATGTAATAACTCAATTAACAGATTTCTAAATAGCTTGAAATTCTGACATGGATACAAATCATGAAGGAAAGGAGAAAGCATCTACATAAATTAGTTATATAGAGACACATAGGTGTAGGAAGTGAAAAAAAAGCATGTATACACAGCAATACTCAAAACATTGAGCTAAAAAAGCTTGCTATTTAAAACGTTTTCCTGAGTAATTCTGAGGTAAATTAAAGAGTGGAGCACTCTGGCTTTAGGGACTAGAGATAAGATTGAGTGAAAATTATAGATAGGCAAATATTGACTCATGAGAAAATGGTGGTATTTGAGGGCTGTCCCAAAATAAAACACACTGTCCTATAAAGGCTTATGTTTGCTGTCATTTAGGTTTTTACTAGACTTGTTAAGGATACAGGAGCCAAATAAGGAGTCACTTTGGCTTGTGGATGGGAATTTTTTTTCATTGTTAGAAATCTTTTCCCTTCACTGGAAAGAGTTTGGTGCTTTACAGACAGTGCTTCCATGACATTATACTCCTGTCCTGATGCTTATGTGTGTAGTTTCTGTTGGGTGGGTCTTGTCTAGAAGTAGAATCACTTGATTGTAGAACTTGTGCATCTCTAACTTTAGTAGATAGAACCAAATATTTAAGTGGTTGTTCCAGATTCTACTTCAACCATAGTGAGTTCAAATTTCTCTGCATTCTTAACCACACTTAATTTTGTCAGACTTGAGTTTTTGGTACTCAGTTGAGTTTCTAATAATATACTGTTGTGGTGTTTATATATGTTTCCCTGACTATTAATGAGATTGAGAACCATATGTTTATTGGCTATTTGGATATCTCTTGTAAGAATCCTGTTTCAAGCATTAAGGATCCTGTTCAAGCATTGGTGTATGTTGTAGTTAATTAGGTAGTCTCTCATTGAAATTTTAGGAGTTCTAGTTATGGTGACTTGACCATTTCACTTATATGTGGAGAAAATACCTACTTCAATTCTGTGGCTTATCTTTTTTTCCCCCTATGTTTGAATAGTAGTCTTAATTTTAAGTGGTTGAATACTTTCTGTGTCTTGATTTAAGAAACCTTCTGAGGGTTGGTCAGGGTGGGAGATGGGTGAGAGTGGTTAAAAGGTACAAACTTCCAGTTATATGATATATAAGTTCTAGGGATATAATGTACAGCATGGTGACTATAGTTAATAATGTACTGTATATTTGAAAGCTGCTTAGAGAGTAGATCTTAAAAGTTTTCATCACACGGAAAAAATTTGTAACTGTGGGGTGATAGATGTTAACTAATCTTTTTACGGTAATCACTTTTCTGTATATCAAGTCATGTTGTACACCTTCAGTTCAGTTCAGTTGCTCAGTCGTGGCTGACTCTTTGTGATCCCATGGACTGCAGCACACCAGGCCTCCCTGTCCATCACCAACTCTTGTTGGAGTCCACCCAAACCCATGTTCATCGAGTCAGTGATGAGCCATTCAACCATCTCATCCACTGTCATCCCTTTCTCCCACCTTCAATCTTTCTCAGAATCAGTGTCTTTTCAGATGAATCAGTTCTTTACATCAGATGGCCAAAGTGTTGGAGTTTCAGCTTCAACATCAGTCCTTCCAATGAATATTCAGGACTGATGTCCTTTAGGATGGACTGGTTGGATCTATTTGCTGTCCAAGGGACTCTCGAGTCTTCTCCAACACCACAGTTCAAAACCATCAATTCTTCAGCACTTAGCTTTCTTAATAGTCCAATTCTCACATCTGTACATGACTACTGGAAAAACCATAGCTTTGACTAGATGAACCTTTGGTGGCAAAGTAATATGTCTGCTTTTTAATAAGCTATCTAGGTTGGTCATAACTTTTCTTCCAAGGAGCAAGCATCTTTTAATTTCATGGCTGCAGTCACCATCGGCAGTGATTTTGGAGCCCCCCAAAATAAGTCTGTCACTGTTTCCATATCTCTTTGCCATGAAGTGATAGGACCACATGCCATGATCTTAGTTTTCTGAATGTTGAGCTTTAAGCCAACTTTTTCACTCTCCTCTTTCACTTTCATCAAGAGGCTCTTTAGTTCTTCTTCACTTTGTGCCACAAGGGTGGTGTCATCTGCATATTTGAGGTTATTGATATTTCTCCCGGCAATCTTGATTCCTGCTTGTGTTTCATCCAGCCCAGCGTTTCTCATGGTGTACTCTGTATATAAGTTAAATAAGAAGGGTGACAATATACAGCCTTGACATACTCTTCCCTATTTGGAACCAGTCTGTCTTTCCATGTCCAGTTCTAACTGTTACTTCTTGACCTGCATACATATTTCTCAGGAGGCAGGTCAGGTGGTCTGGTACACCTTAGACTTAGACAGTTGTATGTCAGTTATATCTCGGTAAAACATGGAGTGGAGTGGAGAGGAGAAACTTCTCCCTACTCGTAGAACATAAATATATCCTCCATTATTACCTTATAAAAGCTTAATACCACCTTCCTTTAGCTCTTTAATCCACTTGAAGTAGGTTTTTTGGTACAATGTGAGGTAAACATTAGACTTGCCTTAGTACATGTGAATAATCATTTTTCCTGGCATCATTCATTTAAAAGGCCATTTTCCCTTTATTGATTTTCAATATCACCTCACTGAGTGTCTATATTTGATTCATCCATCTGATCTCTATTTTGTATCATTGGTTTGTTTTGTATATCCTTACATAAGTTTCGTACTTTCATAATATGACAGAGCATTCTAGTCATCTTGGTAACGTCTACATAAAACCATTAGGAATTTGATAGGTACAGGAGTAAATCTAATCTATGAGTGTGATTTCTTTGCACTTATTTAGGTCTTTAATATGATTTTGTCATGTTTTTATTAGGTTAGGCATGTGCGCTCAGTAGTGTCTGACTCTGTGATCCCATGGACTGTAGCCACCCCCAGGCTCCTCTGTCCATGAGATTTTCTGGGAAAGAATAATGGAATAGGTTGCCTTTTCCTTCTCAAGGAGATTTTCCGAACCCAGGGATTGAACTCATGTCCCTGTGTCTTCTGCATTGGTAGGTGGATTCTTTACCCCAATGCCACCTGGGAAGCCCTTTTTATTAGATTGGACCATATGAAATGTTTTTATAGATTCAAAATATTTGCATGTAGACAATTACATGACTTGGCCTGGTAGAATTCTCTCCAGAGGTCTAATCTTATGTGTCTTTTATTCTTATTTAGCTTCAGGTACTACTTGTTGTTATAAATAAATCCTTTTAAATTTCTTTTTGCTTTCTTACTGGTATGTAAATAACCTTTGATTTTGGATCCATTAGCTTTACTATAGTTATTAATTTTAATTTCCATGTAGATTGTTTTGTGGTTTTTATGATTGTAATCATAATCTGTGAATTATATTTGTGTTATCACTCAGTTGTGTCCGACTCTTTGTAATCCAATGGACTATAGCCCGCCAGGCTCCTCTGTCCTTGGAATTTCCCAGGCAAAAATACTGGAGTGGTTTGCCATTCCCTTCTCCATGAATTACATTTATGTGTTCTTTTTCCTTTGATCTTTAACATTTGTCTTCATTCACCAGTTGCCACTTAGTATGTTGTTAGAAGGAGGTGGTGAGAATAGGTATCTTTTTTTTTTCCCACCGTGATCGCCAAGAAGAAACTTTGTTGAACATTTTACCAGTACTTACAATGTTTGACAGGTATTTTGTAGGTATGCTTTCCTGGATTTGGCTTGACAGTATTTTGTGTAAGATTTTTCCATTTGGGTTAATGAGTGAAATCTGCATTATCTTTCCTATCTAGCTATCCTTTACAAATTATGTTGATTTTATAAAAAATAGTGTGCTGTAATATTTTTCTATTTTATGGTAGAATTTTGTGTCCTTTTCTTGAATATTTATTAGAACTTATCAGTTAAGGTCTTTGGGGCTGAGTTTTCTTTGTACAAAGTTTTTTGTTTTTTTGTTTTTTTCCTGTAATGATTATATAGAACTATAAGGTGCAAAGGAAGAAGCAAATAGAGGACATGATTTTTAATCTGCCTTGGAGATTTGATAAGGGAACTTGGAGTTAAAGTTTATTATTGTTTCTAATTTTAAATATGTGAGTACCAAAAAGTGAATATGCTTAAATTATCTAATTCTAGTTAATATTCTATTTTTTTACTTGTCATTTCTGTTTCTGTTTGAGCTTTGAAGAAAATAGAAGTCTAGGGTTTAAATCCATTTTTCAAAATTTTGTTCACTTACTTTAATATACTTAATACTACATGAAATTATACTAGATTAGTTTTGTAAGTAGAATTTGAATCCTATAGCAAAAAAAAATATTTAACCTCACTCAGACTATGAATATACTTACCATATTTTGCATCTTTTTTATAGGGTTTCATTTACTAAATTTTATCTGTACTTGTTTATCATAACATCTGTAGTGATCTTATTATTGAATGTACCATTTTTACAGAATATAAACTTGATGTCCATATCAAGTTATAAATCAAAGTTCAATGTATTCCAACCTTATTGGCCTCCTTGTGTTGATTAATCATACAGACATGCTCCTGTTTCAGAGCCTTTGCCCTTGACTGTTCCCTCTTACTGGTCTACACCACACCAGTATTCATTTGACTGGCTTTGTCTTTTATTCTTTATTCACACATCACTTTGAAAGACAACTTTATTGATCGTGCTATGTAAAATCATACACACCCGGCATGGGTTACTTAAATTCTCCTTTAGTGTAACTTAATTTCTTTATGATACTGATTATCATCTGACATTTATTATTCTCTCTTGCCCTACTTGTATTAGTTTCCTATTATTGCTCTAACAAATTACCACAGACTTAGTGGCTTCAATTGGAGAAGGCAGTGGCAGCCCACTCCAGTGCTCTTGTCCGACTCCTGCGACGAGTCGGACACGACTGAGCGACTTCACTTCTCACTTTCATGCATTGGAGAAGGAAATGGCAACCCACTCCAGTGTTCTTGCCTGGAGAATCCCAGGGAAGGCGGAGCCTGGTAGGCTGCCGTCTATGGGGTCGCACAGAGTCAGACATGACTGAAGCGACTTAGCAGCAGCAGCTTAAATAATACAACTTATTATTTTACAGTTCTGTAAGGCAGAAGACTTACAAATTTCACTGGGCTAAAAGTATCAGCAGGGTTGTGTTCCATTTTGGAAACTCTGAAAAAAAAAATTTACTTCCTTGCCTTTTTCAGATTCTAGGGATCTCCCAGTTCCTTGGCCTGTGGCCTACTTCCTCCATTTTTAAAGCCAACAAAGTTGTATCTTTGACTATTTGTTTTTAGTCACATCTTCCTTCAGGCTCTTTCTTCCCTCTTCTACTTTTCAAGATCCCCCATGATTACCTTTGGTCTATTTAAATTACCTTTGGTAATCCTATTTAAAGGTTATTAACTTCATAATGTCTGCAAAGTCCGTTTGCCATGTAAGGTAATATATTCATAGGTTCCTGGGCTGATGACAGATATCTTTGGGGCCTATTATTTTGCCAATCATACCACTAGAATGTTAATGCTTTGATTTTTGTTTTTGTTGCTGTTTGCTGCTGTGTGTCAGACCCTGTCCTAAGAAATAGTTAGAATAGATACTCAGGAAATACAGTATTTCATAGAATCTGAAATTAACTTTTCTGTATTTTAACATCTATGAAACTAGGGTGTATCTTAAAATTGCTATTGGACTGACTAAAGTTGGGTTCTTTGAGATACTTGATTTTACTTCTGCTAGTCACCTTGGAGTGCCATCTAACTTGAAGTTAAAATTTCTATATCTAGAAATAGGACTAAAGGAGGTACATAAAGGAGAAAGTATAATATGTAATGGCTTTATGGAAAGTATGTAACAACTTTATGGTCTGACACTATAGCTATAACTGTAACACATGGAAGAAATATACAAAGAAATTTTAAAGTATTTTCTATAATCCTGATGACAACTGGTGAAAATGTCTTATGTGTAATGTGGAGTAAAGCAAAGAAGTACTTGTAGCATTCTCATTTAGGCATCCCTGGTGTCTTTGAGAACTAGGATCGTGAAAGAAAGATTCTAGTTTTCTGATCGTGAAAGAAAAGAGAAACAGATAAATAATTGCTTTGTCAAAAGCAAACTTACCCTCAGTCCTGAATTTGAACAGAAAGTGTTTGCATGATCTCATGAGGTATGTTATATATGTATTAATGTGTGTGTCTTAATTTTGTAGCTTTGTCCACTAAAAATACGTGAAAATAGCAATCAGTCCAGTTGCAGTAAGCTTTTTAGTGCCTAAATTGTGGTCTTGAAATAACCATTTCCACCTAAAAGAAGGCTTCCCAGATAGCTCAGCTGGTAAAGAATCCACCTGCAATGCAGGAGACCCTGGTTTGATTCCTGGGTTGGGAAGTTCCCCTGCGAAGGGATAGGCTCCCCACTCCAGTATTCGTGGGCTTCCCTGGTAGCTCAGACAGTAAAGAGTCTGCCTGCAGTGCGGGAGACCTGGGTTCAATCCCTAGGTTGGGAAGATCCCCTGGAGGAGGGCATGGCAACCCACTTCAGTATTCTTTTTTGTTTTTTTTTTTTTTTTGGAGGTGAAGGGATTGTTGAGCAAAAACCACTACAATATTGTAATTAGCCTCCAACTAATAAAAATAAATGAAATAAATAAATAAAATAAAAATTCACTTCAGTATTCTTAAGTGGAGAATCCCCATGGACAAAGAAGCCTGACAGGTTACAGTCCATGAAGTCACAGTCAGTCAGACACTACTGAGCGACTAAGCACACACACACACACCTAAAAAACCTGGCTTCCTTGGAGATACAATGACAGGCCAGAGGCCAAAATGTACAAGAAGAACTAGGAACATCATGTCTCGCAGTTAACAAGGAAGCCCACAAAGACTGCTAAGCTGATTGGACACCTACATAGAACGTTTGAGAGCTATTTTTTTTTTTTTAACTGCTAAAGAAAATATTCCATTTGTATTTGTTATATGCGCTATACCACTGAGTTACCAAATAATTGATGTGGTCATGTTTCTCTTTATGGAATTATTTCAGCAAATAAGTGAAAAGGGAGTGAAAGAACTAGAATATCAACATTATCCAGTCCCTAGTGAATTAATCTAGTCATTGAGCGTCTGTGGCTGCTATCATCATAGGAAAAGACAACTAAATAATTAGGTGCTTACTGATGAAAATAGACCTGTAGATGATTTTACTCAAAAAATGAACCTATTTGAGTAAACATTGAGAGAAGGGTCAGCAATTTTATTCTGTGAAGAGCCAGATAGTGAATAGTTTAACCTTTGGCCGCCAGATGGTCTCTGTCACAACTCAACTCTGCTGCTGTATCATGAAACCAGCCGTAGAGAATACATAAACTAATAGGCATTGCTGTGTCCAGTAAAACTTTATTTTTAAAAACATGCCTCAAAGCAACGGTTTTTGACCTTTTCACCAGACCAACTACTGATTTACTGGAATCATAAATGACAGAAAAAACTGAAATAAACTTAGGGAATGTAGATATCAAAATCAAAACCATGGGAAACTGTAGGACAAATGGTGGGGGTTCATCAACAAGTTATAAGGGAAAAGATTGGGAATTTAGTTTTTGAAACTCAGAACTATATCATATACTTAGGGAGGAAGACAGGTGAGAAGATTGAAGAAAATTAACGTAAATATGGCTCTTGGGAGGGAGTGAAGAGGTTTTGACTTAGAAGGGAGGATGTGAAGTGCTGAGGGAGTTGATAGTCCTGTCTCTTTTCATGGTTGATTACAAGGATATGTGCCTTTTAATTGGCTAAACTATACATCTATCTATAAATTTTCTGCATTTGTTTGCATTTGACATTAAAAGTTTTAAAAGAAAGGTGAAATATTTGAAAAAGTCACCAAGCAAATAGTAACCAAAAAAACCAAAGGTACACTTGTGATACAAAATGCGTTACTAGAGATAGAAAGACATTTCATAAGAACATTTAAGTATTCTTAGTCTGTATGTACCCCATAATATATCTTAAAATATAAAGCAAAAGTTGATAGATTAAAAGGAGAATTATATAAATCTATAGTTACAGCAAGAAACTTTGAAGAAGTATATGCAAAAAGCTATAAATATGTCTGTGAAAAATATGGCTTAGTATTTGAAAGACTTTTCTTTGTAATGAGGTCATCTGTTTACTCAGAAAAGTGCATATTTATTGGAAATATGTTTAAATCTTTCATTTTAATTTGGAGTATCATTTTACCTTATCTTTAAATTTACAAGATAGGTGTCTTCTCACCAAATGGTCTACGTCTTGATTTTTTTTTCTAATATTAAACTAAAGTTACATTTTAACTTCAAATATTAATCACTGGAATTTTCCTACTGCTGGAAACAATTCAGTGATTAGCTACTACCCCATTTTTAGTAGTGTTCAGTGAGTTTTGAAACTGACTTAATTACTATTTGCATATGGTTTAGATTTTGCTGACCTTTCTTCCTTTTTTAAACAGGGGTTCTGAAGGAAAATTAAATGACTGTCAGATAAGATTCATAAATGAAATCTTCAAGATCGAGAAACCTGGAGCCCATCCTCTTTCATTGGCAGATGGAAAGTTTTTAAGTATGGATCTTTCTTACGGGCCGAGACTGCATGTATTGTTCAGGATTGCCATTTTGACTGGCCAGGGAATGACTTTTGAGGAAGTACAAAACTAAAGACCATACAAATTTATTTTCAAGACAGCCATTTTGATATAAGATCATTTTGGTTTAATGGATTTTTCTCAAATGATAAAATTTGTTTTCAAAGACTGTTTTCTCATCTTGGGATTTTACTGCCATTTTCTTGCTGTTTCCTTTATTATAGAGTCTGTCCAGATAAAAAAACCCACTTTGGTAATGGGGCCATTTAAGATTAATATTTAATAATGAGGCTTATTTTTATACTAGTAGAGCCTGAGAAGAATAATGCTGGTTGAGCCCTGAATTTCTGGGAGGTAATGGATGGTTTATGTAATCGTTAGAATGTAGCCTCATCTCCTCATTGTGTGTAACATAATTTCATGCAGCTAGTTGGTAACAAAGGTAGGACTAAATTCTGTATCTTTTCCTTCATAGTTCAGTTGCTGTCTTTCCAAATAGGTTACAATGTTTCATACTCTGTTAATTTTGATTTGTGTGTGTGTGGAGAACAATTCATTGACCTTTTGCCATGTGTCCATGTCAATGTCTCATATATTCTGGCAAAAGACATATTCAAGATTAAAGAGTCCTGCCTATCCTCTTCTTAACCACAGTTGTGCAGAATTAGAACAAGACAAGTCCTTTAACAGATTAATTATTAGACTTCCATGTTACTGGTTTAAGCCATACTCATTTTTTGAGACTGCAGTGCTAATACATCTAGACTTGAATTAAGAACTTTAAGGCATACTGTGTATGATTGTATGGTTGTATTCTAGGAATAAGGGTAACTTGTTGAGTAAACTTATTTAATGTGACTTGCTGTCAGTAAAACACAAAAGAAAAATTGACTAGGTTTTTCTTGTTTTCTCTCTCAGTATATCTGATTATATATGTTCTTTGCCCAATGCTAGTCATGTTATAGCTACAACTTTGAACTCCTGTGTAAGGAAACCATTTCAGAGCCACAGCCAGACTGCCATTGATCTCTCTAAGCCATAAATCTAAACATACCTTTGGCAACATGTCATTCTAGACATCTTTCTTTATCTATATAATTCATCTTTGTGTGTTTATACAGTTTTGTATAAAAAATTTACTCTGCAGTTTCATTTTGGTGATCTCTATATTATAGTTATTGTAAATTTACCTCATTTTTCATAAAATTTATCCAACTGTTACTCTTTTGATACTTAAATTTAACTTTTGCTGTTAGCATTACTATAAGACTTTTGTGTATATATGTTCATTTTATAATTTCAGATGAACATTTTGGCAAAAAGTACTTTGGATTTAGATGGAAGAGACTGGCAGAGGAGGGGTGGGCAATAAGTGGAACCTGTTAGTTGCCAGAATTCTGAACCAACTGATAAACAAGATTAAAAAAAATCAACTGTTAGGTACTGTATTGACTAATAAAGAGTATGTTGGTGGCATAGCAAAACCAAAATGGATTTGCTGACTTCTAACAGGTGCACCCCTCCTAGTTTAATCCACCTAGGGAAAGGTTTGGATCCGCAGAACAGGTGTTACCTAACGCTTCCATTTCCGAACAACTTTGTTCAGTTATTTCACTGGAAATTTTAATCTATCTTATGATGCCCCATGAGTTCACTGTATAACTCCTATGCATCTTGATGCACATTTGGGGAATATTAAAGTCTTGAACTGAATTATTCTATATGGTTCTTTTTGTTTAAAAAAAAAAAGCTGTGTGCTATTCTCATGGGTTTTTCTTTATAAAATTCATAGACATAAAAATGATTTTAAGACTGGGCTTGCTATAATTTTGTTCTTAATAGGGAAAAATGACCCTGAATGTGACTCTTGTGGTGGAGACCCAAATAAGAAATGCCGTTCTTGCTCCTGTCATATATGTGGTGGAAAACAGGAACCCAACATGCAAGTTCTATGTGATGAATGTAACATGGCCTATCATATTTACTGCCTGAATCCTCCTTTGGATAAGGTCCCTGAAGAGGAATACTGGTATGATTATCAGGGGATTTTTGTTGTTACTATGTAAGAACTGAATGTGCAATATGTATTTGAAGCCCCGAAAGTAGATTTCTAAAGATACAAATGTGTAAGGGGTGGATTTATTGAGAGAGATACATGTCTTCTGGCAGAGATGCAGTCCATCTCAGAAGACAAGTGGCCTACATAGTATATACTGAAGTGCTTAAAATTGTATAACTAATGGTTATTTGGCATTGGTACCTTTATTCAGTTACTACAACAGCTTCTGAACTGATCTCTCACTCCGTTTTTTTTTTTTTTATTAGTTGGAGGCTAATTACAGTATTGTAGTCGTTTTTGTCATACATTGACATGAATCAGCCATGGATTTACATGTATTCCCCATCCTGATCCCCCCTCCCATCTCCCTCTCCACCCAATCCTTCTGGGTTTTCCCAGTGCGTTTTTTAATCCCTCCAGTCCATTCTCCAATATGAGTCTATGTTCTTTCAAAAATGCAAATTTGATAATTACTCCTTTGCTTCAGATGCTTTACATTACTGTAGAGAGCCTTGCACAGTGTTTTTTAGTTGATTTTTCCCTCTGTATCTCTTACCACTTTCCTCTTTTATTTTCCAAAGTGCTCCCTATATGACTTCATGCAATGATGAGACTTTAAATACCGAGCAAATGGTTCAGAATTTATATTTTCAGACCCAGCCTTACCTGAACTTTATGTTCCTATATTCAACTGATTGCTTGACTAGTATTACAAAATTAGTGACTCCGAGTGGAGATCTTGATTTCCACAAACATATCCACTGAAATCTTACTCCTCACTCAGTCTTCAGTAAATAATACCATTGTTTCATCCACCTGTTGAGGAAAAAGCTGAATTTCATTTCATTTCTCTCTTCTCCTTCATCACATACTCTTAAGATTTGCTAATGTTATTGGATGTACAGTTCTACTCTCATTACCAAGTTCAACCACCATCTGTACCGTGAACTGTATGCATGTGTGCATGTATGCTCAGTTGTGTCTCATTCTACGACCCCATGGACTGTAGCTTGCCAGGCTCCTTTGTCCATGGAATTTTCCAGGCAAGAGTACTGGAGTGGGTTGCCGTTTCCTTCTCTGGGATCTTTGCAACCCAGGAATTGAACCTGAGTCTCTGGTATCTCCTGCATTGACAAATGATTCTTTACCAGCTGGGTCACTAGGAACTCTATAGTAAATGCACAGCTAGTCTTCTTGCTTTCACATTGTCTACCAGCTATCCTTCTTGCCATAGCAGCGGAATGATCTAAATCCTGAATCAGAATACTCACCTGTTTAAGACCCCTAATGTCTAACTGTTGAATTTAGGATAAAATCTAAACCCTTGCTGTCCATGAACCAACCTCTGCCTACTTTCAGTATTCTTCAGAACATACCATTCCTTATTATGCCTCAGGACCTTTACACTTAATGTCTCTTTGCTTGGACTCTTGATAGGTTTGGCTCTTCTAATCTCATCTGGAATAGCACTAACCGTGATGTATCTCCTTTATCAGTCAGTTCAGTTCAGTTGCTCAGTCATGTCCAACTCTTTGCAACCTCATGGACTGCAGCACACCAGGCCTCCCTGTCCATTACCAGCTCCCGGAGTTTACTCAGTCTCATGTCCATTGACTTGGTGATGCCATACAACCATTTCATCCTCTCTTGTCCCCTTCTCCTGCCTTCAGTCTTGCCCTGCATGAGGGTCTTTTCAAATGAGTCAGTTCTTCACATCAGGTGGCCAAAGTATTGGAGTTTCAGCTTCAGTTTCACTCTTTCCAATGAATATTCAAGACTGATTTCCATTAGAATGGACTGGTTGGATCTCCTTACAGTCCAAGGGACTCTCAAGAGTCTTTTCCAATATCACAGGTCAAAAGTATCAATTTTTCGGAGCTCAGCTTTCTTTCTAGTCCAACTCTCACATCCATACATGACTGTTGGAAAAACCAAAGCTTTGACTCGATGGACCTTTGTTGGCAAAGTGATGTCTCTGCTTTTTAATAAGCTGACTAGTTTGGTCTTAACTTACTTCCAAGGAGTAAGCGTCTTCTAATTTCATGGCTGCAGTCACCATCTGCAGTGATTTTGGAGCCCCCCAAAATAAAGTCTGTCACTGTTTCCCCATCTATTTGCCATGAAGTGATGGGACTGGATGCCATGATCTTAGTTTTCTGAATGTTGAGTTTTAGCCAACTTTTTCACTCTCCTCTTCCACTTTCATCAAGAGGCTCTTTAGTTCTTCGTTTCTGCCATAAGGGTGGTGTCATCTGCATATCTGAGGTTATTGATCTTTCTCCCAGAAATCTTGATTCTAGCTTGTGCTTCATCCCAGCATTTCTCATGATGTACTCTGTATATAAGTTAAATAAGCAGGGTGACAATACACAACCTTGACGTTCTCCTTTCCCGATTTGGAACCAATCTGTTGTTCCATATCCATTACTAACTGTTGCTTCCTGACCTGCATACCAATTTCTCAAGAGGCAGGTCAGGTGGTCTGGTATTCCCATCTCTTTCAGAATTTTCCAGGGTTTGTTGTGGTCGACACAATCAAGGGCTTTGGCATAGTCAATAAAGCAGAAGTAGATGTTTTTCTGGAACTCTTGCTTATTCAGTGATCCATCGGATGTTAGCAATTTGATCTCTGGTTCCTCTGCTTTTCTAAATCCAGCTTGAACATCTGGAAGTTCACAGTTCACTTGCTGTTGAAGCCTGGCTTGGAGAATTTTGAGCAATACTTTACTACCATCTGAGATGAGTGCAATTGTGTGGTAGTTTGAACATTCTTTGGCATTGTCTTTCTTTGGGATTGGAATGAAAACTGACCTTTTCCAGTCCTGTGGCCACTGCTGAGTTTTCCAAATTTGCTGGCATATTGAGTGCAGCACTTTCACAGCATCATCTTTTAGGATTTGAAATAGCTCAACTGGAATTCCATCACATCCAGTAGCTTTATTCGTAGTGTTGCTTCCTAAGGCCCACTTGACTTTGCATTCCAGGATGTCTGGCTCTAGGTGAGTGATCACACCATCATGATTATCTGGGTCGTGAAGATCTTTTTTAGATGGTTCTTCTGTGTATTCTTGCCACCTCTTCTTAATATCTTCTGCTTCTGTTAGGTCCATACCATTTCTGTCCTTTATTGAACCCATCTTTGCATGAAATATTCCCTTGGTATCTCTAATTTTTTTGAAGAGATCTCTAGACTTTCCCATTCTGTATTTTTCCTCTATTTCTTTGCATTCATCACTGAGGAAGGCTTTCTTATCTCTTCTTGCTATTCTTTGGAACTCTGCATTCAAATGGGTATATCTTTCCTTTTCTTCTTTGCCTTTCACTTCTCTTTTCACAGCTATTTGTAAGGCTCCTCAGACAACCATTTTGCTTTTATGCATTTCTTTTTATTAGGGATTGTCTTGCTGCCTGTCTCCTGTACAGTGTCACACACCTCCATCCATAGTTCTTCAGTCATTCTATCAGATCTAGTCCATTGAATCTATTTGTCACTTCCAGTGTATAATCATAAGGGAGTTGATGTAGGTCATACCTGAATGGTCTAGTGGTTTTCCCTACTTTCTTCAATTTAACTGAATTTGGCAATAAGGAGTCTATGGTCGGCTCCCAGTCTTGTTTTTGCTGACTATATAGAACTTCTCCATCATTGGCTGCAAAGAATATAATTAATCTGATTTCAGTGTTGACCATCTGGTTATGTCCATGTGTAGAGTCTTCTCTTGTGTTGTTGGAGGAGGGTGTTTGCTCTGACTAGTGCGTTCTCTCAGCAAAACTCTATTAACCTTTGCCCTGCTTCATTCTGTACTCCAAGGCCAAATTTGCCTGTTACTCCAGGTATTTCTTTTATACCATTATACTTCCTTTATAGCACTTAACCATTTTCTGAAATTGATTCCTTTTGTGTACTAATTTTCCTTAACTATTTACAAATATTTTAATCACAAGCATTTATCCCTACCCCGTGCCAAAATAGTGCCTGGACTCATAACAAACCTGATGAAGAGATTGATCCCAGGGATGACTATAATTACAGGAGTCTTAGATTACTCTGTGAAGTATTTCTACATTCATGTTGAGGTCCTTCACGTCATCTGAAATTCCTTAACCTTACATCTTTTCTACTTTTCCAAATCACATTGTCTGAATATTTAGTCTCTGAACTCATTTTCTCATTAGAGATGATACCTGCTTTCATCATAAGATCTTTGATAAAATTATAGTTAGAAGGTTAGCATATCAGGTAAAACAGTCTTTCTTAAAACAAATTAATTTTTGGAAGTGTTTCTGCTTTTCAGATTAGTAGGGATTTTACTTGATAATATTCATTGCCTTATCATACATAATTTTGCCTTGGATTTATTTCTATATCTCACTGCCCAGCTAATTTTCTCAAAGTCTGAATTGTCTACATATCTTGTCTGTAGTACTAAATATAACATCTCATAATTAGGTATTCAAAATTAACTAGTGGGTATAGATGTCATCATCTTTGTGAAAATATAGAAAAAGAAATATTAAGATTAATGGGTGGAATGGCAAGTTGATCTTTGGATATACCCAAAGTTTCCATTTCTTTGTGACTCAAAAATAGCCCATTTCATTCTGTATATATATATACTTATGCTTTGCTTTTCAGAAATGATAACAAGGCAGCTTATAATGATATATACATTACAGTGGGCTTCCCTGGTGGCTCAGTGGTAAAGAATCTGCCTGCCAGTGCAGGGGACACGGGTTTGATCCCTGGGTCAGGAAGATCCCCTGGAGAAGGCAATGGCAACCCATCCTGGTATTCTTGCCTGGGAAATCCCATGGACAGAGGAACCTGGCGGGCTATAGTCATGAGGTTTCAGAGTGGGACACGACTCAGTGACTAAACAACAACAAACAACTCAAGTTATAGTAGCGTAACAACCACAAATAGGCTAAAGGATAAACAACTGTAGAGAATTAAAGTTGAGCTAGAGACAAACATCCTTGAATCCGGTATACTTGTTATAATTGACTATAGATTCTTTACTTTGAAAATTCTAATAACCAGTTCAGATGGGGAGATATATCAGTTGCCATGGTTCATTGTTCAGTCTGGAATCATCTATTCTTACCATTTTTGTTTTAATGGTAAAAAGTTCAGATGAATGATGTCTACTCTGAGAATTAGTGATAAGATCAGAGTTTATGGTGCCATTTGGATTGGACAGCCTTGTTTGGCTTGTGCACTGAATTTGATAATAAAATATTAAGTTCTCTAAAAGAATGGCAAGCTTAATCATGTAAATATTTTGGAAAGTTTAGTACTGAAATGCCCACTGAAACTCTAATATACACCAAGTATTACACATCTCAAAAATTAAACCAGAAAGGCCATTATTTGTTATTGACGATACTATAATATTATCAAAATTCTCTTTTTTTAAAGGTATTGTCCTTCCTGTAAAACTGATTCTAGTGAAGTTGTAAAGGCTGGTGAAAGGCTCAAGATGAGTAAAAAGAAAGCCAAGATGCCATCAGCTAGTACTGAAAGCCGAAGAGATTGGGGCAGGGTAAAGAAGGAAGTCTTTTTCTTCCTAGCTATAATGTTTATAACTGTAATGCAAGTTACAATGTTTCGATTCCAGTAGTAGTAATGGTATAAGTGATAATCTGAAATGTTAACAAATAACAATATTGATTAATCATATAGATTGTTAGGATGTGCCTGATGGCCCAGTGGTTAAGACTTTGCTCTTCCACTGCAGAGGGTGTGAATTCGATCCCTGGTTGGGAAACTAAGATCCTGCATGCTGAGCAGTGTGGCCCCCAAAAAAGGAAAAAAAAAAAGTTAAATATTAATCACATAAATTGTAGGGTTTTATTTTATCTGCATTTTATGGGGATTAAGGGCTTTCTTTAAGATTTCTCAAACAACTTGTTCGTTACCTTGTAGGGAATGGCCTGTGTTGGTCGCACTAGAGAATGTACTATTGTTCCTTCCAATCATTATGGACCTATTCCTGGAGTTCCTGTTGGATCAACTTGGAGATTTAGAGTTCAGGTATGTTTTAGATTGACTTAGTCAAAAGAGTAAAATTGGGTATACCTCACATTGTAGCAGTGTTAATGTCAGTTGATTCTAAGTGAAGTGATGTAGGTAGTATCATATGGCATTCATTTGTTAAAGTGAATGATTTCCTGTAGGATGATTAGGTACTTCCTCATAGCTTAGCAGACAGGAACATAACATCGTGGACTTGGGCATCATCTAAGCCTTTGTATCACTTTGTTTTATTTTTGTTATTGTTACAGTAGTTAAAGTTATTATTCAGTATTCTGAAGAATAGGCATTTAGTTTAACAAGTACTGTGTTTTTTACAAATGGAAAGTTTTTGGCAACACTTTGTCCAGCAGGTCTATTGGTGCCATTTTTCTGATAGCATTTTTAAATTAAGATATGTACATTTTTTGGACATAATGCTATCAAGCACTTAAGACTACAATATAGTGTAAATAGTGGCTTTTATATGTACTGGGAGCCCAGAAAATTCATGTGGCTTGTTCTATTGTGACATTCACTTTACTACAGTGGTCTGGAACCAAACCTGAAATATCTCTGAGGTATGCCTGTACAATCATATTTATTTTTTATACTATGCATTATTGATAATATTTATATATAAAATAAGTTATAAAATACATTTCAGTTCAGTCAGTCAGTTGAGTCCAACTCTTTGCAACCCCATGGACTACAGCATGCCAGGCTTCCCTGTCCATCACCAGCTCCCACTTAATTGTCTTGTTCTTTGGTTATTTCTTTTGTTTTTAATTTTTTTCCTTTTTGTATACCTATCATTCATTCCCCAATTCTGAAAACCTCATTAATATGGTCTAAGATGACTTTGAAGCCATTGACTTGAATAACTAGAAGGATAGATTTGCAGTTTAGGAACTAGGGAAGATTCAGCACAGATTTATTTTGGGGGTTGTTCATGAAGCTGAGAGTCAGATGGTCCTTGCTTCTAAAATACTTGGTGTTTCCAAGACCTAAATCCAGGTTCTGTTGTTTTTATCAGCTTCTCATTGACTTCTAATGTACCTCTTTACCCAGCCCACTGTACAGGCTTGGATTTCAGTTTGCTTTACTCTGAGAACAGTTGTGTAATAAACAAGTAAATCGGAATACTTCTCTTGGGGAGTTTGAAGTACATGAAGAAGTGACACTTAGTTTAAGTGAGCCAGAATTAAAGGTATATGGGGAAATGTAGTAAGCCCATTGTAATAAACTAAAAATGAGTGCTATGTTTGAATTTTACTGAGTAATTGGACTCAGATGTATAAACTCCATAAAGAAGAAACTGGATATAAGGATGAGAAAGTAGGTAGGAGCCCAGTTGAGAGAAGGTAACATATAATACTTAACTTGGGCTTGATCTACTATTACAACCATTTAATACATGTTAAGCAGTTGAAAATTAAAAGCAGATTTGTTCTTAAAAGGGTTATTCTGTTTGTGATGGGTAGAAGGAATTGAAGGAACAAAGCTGGAGGCAGTGAAAAAGGGTATGTTTTAAGTATTTATGACTCAAATTAGAATTATATCAGTGACTGGAAAATGATGGATTTGAGAAGATTAGGAACTCAAATCAGCAATGTTTACAACCAGATGGGTTTGAAGAATACAGAAAAATGAGGCTGAAATTACTGTTGTCTGTCTGACTTGACTGGGCTTCCCTGCTGGTTCAAATGGTAAAGAATCTGCCTGCAATGCAGGAGACTTGGGTTCAATCCCTGGGTCGGGAAGATCCCCTGGAGAAGGGAATGGCAACCTACTCCAGTATTCTTGCCTGGAGAATTCTATGGACTGAGGAGCCTGGTGGGCTACAGTCCATGGGGTGGCAGAGTCGGACATGACTGAGCGACTAACAATTTCACTTTGACTTGACTAGGGAACAGTACTATAATGAAAGATGAGAAATGAGAAGAGGAGTTCTGGAAAACTGATAGTAAATTATTTTTCACCTGAATTGAGCTGGAATTACCAATAGTACAGGATGATGATTATTTAATAGTTGCTTTGAAACTCAAAATTCTAGGCCTGAGCAGTTTTATGAGTCATTACTTCAGTACCTGAGGAATATATAGTTGGGGAGAAGTAAAGTCTGAGCAAAACGTAGAATTCTGGGTGACATTCGGTTCTTAGTTGGAAGCTTTTAGGATACAGTAACATATGTGAAACCATTTTGTAAATGTAACTTAATGAGCTGTTTGAAGGTATTTTGAGTCTCACTTGATGTTATAGGTGAGCGAAGCAGGTGTCCATAGACCCCATGTTGGTGGAATTCATGGTCGGAGTAATGATGGCGCTTACTCTCTTGTCCTGGCTGGTGGATTTGCGGATGAAGTAGTAAGTCATGATGCAACCTTTTTCTTTAGAACCTGTCTTGATTATTCAGTAAAATATAGAAGCGTTGTTGAGGATAAATCCCATCTCTTTTAGCATCACTTCTGTGTTGAAGTGGTCAGTTCTATACAAGTAACATAGTAAATCAGTCAGCGTCTTTAATCATTGCATGTGCTGATTACTGCAATGAAAACAGTCACATTTTCTTTAGAGCTCATCTTAATTTGGGCATAATTGTAGATTGACATGTAGCATTAGAAATAATACAGAAATGTCTGTGCCCTTTACTCAATTTCAGCCAACGGTAACATCTTGCAAAACTATAGGCCAATATCACAACCAGGATACTGACACTGCTATACATTCAGGACACTGAACATTTTCCTTACTGCAAGGGTCCCTCACATTGCCCTTTTTTAGCCACCATACTATTTCTGCTTTCCCAATACCCCTTAACTCTAGACAACCACTAATTTGTTGTCCATTTCTATAATTTTGTCACTTAAAAATTTTTTATAAATGGAATCATATAGTGTATAATCTTTGGGATTGGCTTTATTCAGTCAGCATAATCCTCATTGTGGCATGTGTCAGTCGTTCATTCCTTTCTATTGCTCAGTAGTGTTCCATTGATATAGGTGTATCACAGTGTAACCATTCACCCATTGCAGCAAATAATGCTGCAATAAACATTTGTGTACAGGGGGTTTTGTGTGTATAAATATGAGTGTTTGTTTCTTTGGGATAAATGCCCAGAAGTATAATTGCTGGGTTGTATGGTAGTTGCATGATTAGTTCTTTAAGAAACTGCTTACCCCTCAAAAAAATGGTGAGGAAAAAAAAAACTGCCAAACTGCCATTGTGAAGTCAATCCAGATACTGTCTGAAAGACCTTATCTGATCAATTTAAGTATTCTGGAATTTTTAATATGTACTTTTTATTAGAATTTCTTCAAATGATGTATACACTGAAGATGAATTCCTTAATGCCTTATTCCTTAAAATATAAACCTCAATGTTGAATCAACAAAGTGTTTAACCCAAACCTCAGTTTGGATATGCAGAGGGTCCCTAAAGTTTTGGGACATATAAAAACACTTAAAATCATGAAATTTTAGTTCTGATTCTTAGTCCAAAGGAAAAATTAGATGAAAAACCTTTATTACAAGCAAGAATGAAGTAAAAAAAGTCATTATATTCAGTCTGAATTAATTAAAATAATCTTGCATTGAAGAACCACTATTAAGATAGTTAGTAGAAGTAATTTACATACTGCTGGTTTTCTTCGTTTAAGTACTGAATCAGGTAGAAACTTAACAATAACAATATAAATTTGTAGTTAAATTCTTTTCTAACTTTCTTCTTAATTATATGTAGTTGTCTTACCCAAATATAACCTGGGTAAACCCATATATTTTGAAATGTGAGAAACTTACAATGCTATTAGGATTGTGGTATAGATTGCTGTTGAGAAATCAGTTTTGGAGTATTTATTAAAATGATGCCCTGTAAAGAACCTAAAACATAGTATTGATATATTTATTTTAATAACATTGAATTAAATTAATATTCCCAACCTATAAGACCTTATTTTGTAACATTCTATAGATTATTTGTATATCACAAGAATAGTTATGTCTGGAGGTGTTGGAAGCTATAATATTAAAATGAAATCTTTAGATCAAGTGATAGAGCTTGAAGGTATATTACACACAAGACTATATTTGAATTTTCCCTTATTTTGGTAGATACCTTGAGAGAACATGTCAGCTTATAACAAAGTTCTGGCAATGAAATAAGAATTGGTAAAATCATACCTGGATTTAGATGTTTAATGCCAAAAATGTTCTTCTGCAGGACCGAGGTGATGAATTCACATACACTGGGAGTGGTGGTAAAAATCTTGCTGGTAATAAAAGAATTGGTGCACCGTCGGCTGATCAAACATTAACAAACATGAACAGGTATTCTTTATTGTTGGAGTTTATAAAAACTGTTTAGAATTTGGGCTTTGTATTAACAGTTGGACTATAGTACTGTAATTTGTAACTTACACTGTAGAGAAGAATCCTAAAGTGTAAGTTAATATAGCTAAAATAAGAATCTTATTACCTGATTAATATAAATTAATTATAAATAAGTATTATATACTTACAAGCTTTCTAACTTATTTTTAGTATTATTCTTTTTTAAATGACATAATTCCCAGTCTTAATACGTGTGCTTTGCATTTGGAAACATGTTGAAAACTTTGAAGAAAAGAAACCCATATAATTTAAGTGAAATTAAGGGCAAGGTGGCTTGCCTACTACCGCATAGGTCAGAGTTTTGTTCTACTAAACACAAATTTATCTTTTAAAGTGAGAAACTTCTTATTAAAAGAGACTAACGTGAAATAGGGTTATGTTTAAAAGCCACATTTATGTGCATGAAACATCAGATAACTTAATCAGAACTACAAAAGGTGCTTTTCGAATTTATGATATCTTTTAAGTGGTTAAAAAAAAAAGCATCATTATGAAAGAGCCACCTTGTGCCAGCTTTATCCTACAGAAGAATTTATGATGTTCCAGCTTCCATGGGAATAGAAAGTTTAACTCAAATGTTTTATTTTGTAAATGCATGCTAGCACTAGAAATAGATTAAGTGACCCAAACCATCAGATAGCAGTGACCATGCTGGAACTTGTCATAGTGAAAATTTTGCAATGATAAAGTTGAAATTTTTTGTATTTTATTATTAAGAATATTTTGTGGGCTATTGAATAAAAGTGAGTTTCGCTTTCCTGAGTCTAAATGACTCAGTTTTAAGTAGTGTGCCCTTAATTTCTGATTACTGTGTAAAGAAAATACTTTGTGGTTTGAAGACTTTTGTTGTATATCAAGTTATATAGAATCTGTTTTTATGTCTTCCTTCTATATTATTTCTGACAGTAGGATTATTATATTGAACCAGCAGAGGAGACAGATCAGATTTGCTGGTGAAAACATTGTTGAGGTAGAAGTCTAGTACCTATGCAGTCTTTTTCTAATGAGGAAGCAATTCTTTAGGAGGAATGATCTTAAAAAGAATTAGAAATATTTTGATGTGTATTGTCAATGTATCTTGATTTGCAAAAGGGCTTTTTTTAATAATAAGATTATTTGACTTGAATGAAACTTCCTTTGTAACTACCTGCACTTGTAATGTACATGAGAATTTCTTTTCAAGCTTGGAAGAATCTAATAAGTATACCCTGTTTATCATATGTTACAATCTCAGAAAATAATTGACAGGCAGTAAAAATGTCTATATTAATAAGGAAGGTAGTGAAAATGAAATAGTAACTCAGAACAATTCAGGATTAACTTATCACAGAGATGCTAACATTTCTTCAGTTAATTTATACACTAAGCTGTGCATATACCCTGTGATTGTAAAGACCTCTTAGGCAAAGATACCTGTGTGTCTTACTATAAACATGAAAAGTGAAGTAAAAGACCCTTAGCTTTAACCCATAGTATATTCTTTCCTGGAGGGTATATGGTCTAATTCCTTTTTGCTTCTCTACTGAGAGGTAGTTTGATACCTGCTCCTTGCTTTTAAGAAGTTTGTTCCTATTTCTTCTCAGCTCTTCCACTTTATGAAACTGAAAAGGGCAGCAGGTAACCTCTGCAGATCATCCTCTATCAGGACAATTAGGGGCAACCGATTGAGCTGTGGACAGAGTAATGGAAAAGCCTTTTATTTTGCCTCGTTTCATCCTCTTGGACTCTACACAGACATGAACAGACTACACACTTACATGAAACTGGAAGTGAGTTCATAATGCCAGTTAGTGGTGGCATTCATTATGATGGAAGGTGGTACCTGTGGCACCAAAGCATTCTACTCATTAACGGGAAGATAGTACATATCTCTATCTCAGTTCTTTTAGGGGATGAAGTATGTGTACCTCAGTAGATATTCCATAAATAATACCAATGCTGGAATTGATGGCTACAGTTTCTTCTACTTGACAGAGTTCTAATGCATTTCCCATTTGAGATTTTAACAAAAAAAAAGATAACTTAATGAGCTTTAATGACACCTAAAAAAATTTTTTTAACAAAACACTTAAGTTCATTTACTTTAACTATGATAGAGATTATAATAGATTAGTCATTTAGTCTTAAATTTTTTTTTTTTTGAGCCTACATAAAAAGAACTATACTCTGGAAAAAAGTATTTTGTTCATATCTGATTTTACCAGATTTCAGGGGAGGGTGTCTGTGTATATTTTTTTAACTTTAAGTGTTCTCAGTGGATTCTTTCCACTTAAGTTAGAATACACGTGTCTTACAGAAGGAATCCTCAACCTCACAGATCTCATGCCTGATGATCTGAAAGTGGAGCTGATGTGATAATAATAGAAATAAAGTGTGCAATAAATGGAATGTGCTTGAATCATCCTGAAACTATCCTCCTCCAACCCCATTCCATGGGAAAATTGTGTCCCATGAAATGGGTCTCTAGTGCCAAATAGGTTGGCTACCACTATCTTAGAGGAAAAATACTAACTTTAAATAGTTCTAGTTTGTCTTTTGAAGGGCAGGACTGTGTTTCCCCAAGAAAGGTCTTCTAACATCTAATAACCTTACTGATTAGTTACCACTAGATGAGAACACATACTAAGGAAGGTTCAGCTAAACCAAGTGCCGCTTGCAGCTCAGTGTTCCTCCTCGTCATCATGTGTCATCAGTAAAATGTAGTGATCTTGAGCAGCCAAAAATCTTTATTGTGATGATTTAGCACAGGTATTTGAATGCTTGAGTTTTATTTAAACTTATCTTTTTACTGGAAATCTTTAAAGGATATCTTCATATTAAATTGTTCTTTATTATCTTCTAAACTTTAAGGAATCTCTGTCTGGAATATGGAAAGTAGACCAAGAAAGGTCATTTGTACCTTGCAGACAAATTTATTTTTCTGGATTTCTTTCTACATTATTCCAACAGTTTACCTTATTCCCTTATCAAAAATAATGATTACAGCAGTCAACTTGCTTTAGTCTTCCAACTTTCTCCCTCCCCTCAACAACGTTATTTAAAGAAAATTCCATGTATTTCTAGTTGTTTTCTATTATACGTGGCACAGATGTTATTACTTTCAGAAGAACCCTACAGGCTATCTGAGAACCAATCCCCTGGCTTGGGGGTGACATCAGAAAACTGATTTGTCTTCTCTGCTGGTGGGGGAAAGCATAATCCTATTATCTGGAATAATATGGAAAGAATCATAGAATCTTAACCATCAGGTAAGGCATAATTCACCTTTTAAGTTAGCTAATGATGTGATTATATACTTGAAGAAAGATTACTTGGTATAAAGACTTTGTTTTATTTTTTAGGGCATTGGCCCTAAACTGTGATGCTCCATTGGATGATAAAATTGGAGCAGAGTCTCGGAATTGGAGAGCTGGTAAGCCAGTCAGAGTGATACGCAGTTTTAAAGGGAGGAAGATCAGCAAATATGCTCCTGAAGAAGGCAACAGATATGATGGCATTTATAAGGTGCTCTATCTGGCATGACATCTTGTTAGTCATTCTTCCTGGGCTTTCAAGACAGGGTTGCCACAGGGAACTGCTCTACTGTGGGTGGGCTAAAGGAAACAATAGACCTTCTTAGTTGGTCTTTCTCCTTTTTCTAGAAATAGGACATGCACAAAACAAGCTCTTAATTTTGATACTTGTCTTTTAAGACTTACCTGAAGTCCCTAAAGGCAGAGTTATATTTGGGGTTAAGCTTTTTATAAGTGATACACTCTTATGATAAAACTGTTCAAATAACTTGGCTGTTGTAAATATTGGATTCTTATATCTTCCAGAATGATTCTAACTGTAATAGATTTTTCAAAGTAGAGCACATTATAATTTTAAAATAGGATGCATTATTTGTTTTAAAAATGAAGGCATCTACTGCCACCATTTTAATCTACTATGTAAAATTATATTGATGAGCATAATCTTGCTACAACTTGAAATTTATAGCAGTCTGCCCTTATGGGAATTATCATAATTAGGAAATAAAACAATATTTTAGTGCATACTTTTTACTTAATATTCCAGCAAAGCCAGTATCTTTCAAAGTTGCATTTAGTTCTGCCAAGTTTACTTAAAACACTAACATGACATTATGAATAAGTCTAAACTGTACATCTCAAACTAGCTGAAATATTATGATTTAGGTGGTGAAATACTGGCCAGAGATTTCATCAAGCCATGGATTCTTGGTTTGGCGCTATCTTTTAAGGAGAGATGATGTTGAGCCTGCTCCTTGGACCTCAGAAGGAATAGAACGGTCAAGGAGACTATGTCTACGTTTACAGGTTAGATTACGTTTGTCTAGGCTACATGTATGTTCATTAAAATGTATGCCTGTGTACTATCTGTGTGCCTTAACACTGGATATAACCCACAGCAGTTGGTCAGTGGACTGTAAGGGGTGAGGAATGAGATCACACAAGTATAGGAAAGGAAAAGAAGTAAAAAAGCAGCCTCCTAGGTGTCAAACTGCCCTAAGACCAAGAATTGTGCTTGGGGAAAACTGGGCTTGACAGTGAAAAGTAAAATACATTTGACCCTTAAACACCACAGGCTTGAACTACCTGGGTCCACTTACACACGGATTTTTTTCAGTAGCAAATATTGCAGTACATTTCTGCTGTTGGTTAAATCCCCAGATGCAGAGGGCCAACCATAAGGTACACAGGAATTTTTTACTTCTGTACAATTGGCCCCACCCTAACTTCCTACATTGTTTAAGGGTCAACTGTATTTCTGATTCACTCTGGACTTTAAGCATGAGGGAAAGGGATACCTGAAATTGAGGTATAGGAGACCTTGAGAAGGGAAGTTTTATGCTAGAGGGCACAGGGGGTGTGTCTCTGGTAGGGGAAGGGGGGAGGTGGCTTATAAGAGTGGTCTGCTTTCTACCCTTCTCACTTTTCCTCACCCCTTTTCTCTCTTCCCCCTCCAAGCTGCTTCCTTGTCCTGTCACCACCTTTAGTGCTTTGCCTTGTTTTTTTTTCTCTTTGCCCATGCTCAGCTGTTTACCCATGTAAGACTTCGTTAGTTTTGTGTGCATAATGGATGGTATGGCTACATTCCCCCTCCACTGCCTATACACCCTAGACTCTGTCCCTGACACTGACTTCAGAGCATGGTTTGAGTTTATCCTCCATCATTGCCCATCACTGTGCTTCTCGTAAAGACTACCAGCTTTGTCATTTCCCCTGGCTCTGCCCACACTGCATGTGTAGGGGCTGAACTATGGGCAAGTGTCTGACCACCCAGGCAGGTGAGTGTGTCTCTTCTAGTGCAAGTCTGTTTTTTTGTTTTGTTTCTTCTTTTTAAACTCGTGGAATTGTTTAAATGAGATCTGTCAGCTGCTAAAATAACTGCCAAAATCATTCCTTTTATAACTAAATATTTTTAAAACCTATTGTTAAATGCATTTTCAGAAGATTTTTTTTTTCAGGTCTACTGTTCGGCAGAGCAGTATTCTAGATAGGTTAACTGTGAAACAGTTGAACAGAAAGAAGCATGTAAGCCAATCAGCTATGATAAGTTAAATATCATTGAGATTTGTAACATTTTGAGCTTTAAATATGAGTGTTATCACAAAGCATGTCCAAAAAAATGTATAGCCAATAAAACACAAGGGTAATTGGGTAGAATTTATTACTTAAAGTCTTACCTTTTAGTTGATAAAGAATTCAGTAATGTAGTGGCTTTAGGTCTTCTAAAAGCTCTCCTGCCTCACCCTATCTGCCTGTTAATTTTAGGAGACAGAAACTTACCTTTCTATCTAATTCTACATTTTCCTTCAAACTTTTTAAGCCCCCTAGTCACAACTTGTAAACTGTTCTTTTCTCTTTTCAGTCTGAAACTAAAATCATGATGTTATAAAATGGAATATCTTAACAGTCAAAACTATATAATCTTACACTGAATTGGGGGATTTTTAATAATCTTTTGTCCTTTGAATTCTGTTTCTTTCGATGTCTGTGTCCTTTATATAAATCCTTTTAACTTAGGGAAAGTATAGATACCTCCCCATTTTCCTTTAACCTCTCTTCTCTATGAAGGTTAAATCTACATTGCACTTTTTCCCCTCATCAGTATCCAGTAGGTTACCCTTCTGATAAGGAAGGGAAGAAGACTAAAGGACAGTCAAAGAAGGCCAGAGGAACCTCAAAAAGGCCATCTGCAGATGGTAGGTAATGATCTAAGAACGTAAATACAAATAACTTAGTTTTTAATAAAGGGAAATACTAAAAGTAAGTTGAAAACTCATAAGAAATGAAAAGAAAAAGGGTTTGTGTGTGTGTGTGGTGGGGGTGGAGTGGGGTGCGATATTTGTGTATTTGAAAAATGTCAGAGCCTAAACCACGAAGTATCCTAAACTATGGGAAAGTTAGATGCTGCTTTATGCTAACTGTTATCTTCATGCTAAGCATAATTGGTGCCAATTAACTCTTCTGCTTAGAACCACTTGTAGTCTGCTGATATATTTTTAAATAAATCTAGATGATTGTCCAAGTGCCTCCAAAGTCCTCAAACCATCAGATTCAGCAGAAGCAGTTGAGGCTTTCCAACTAACACCTCAGCAGCAACATCTAATCAGAGAAGATCATCAAAACCAGAAGCTATGGGATGAAGTTCTTGCATCTCTTGTGGAAGGACCAGTATGTAAAGATTTTTTAAAAGAGTTTCTAATATTAACAAATGATGAAAAATAATTTCCCTATGAATTATCATTTTCACAAAGCAGTTAAAACTTAATCCTTTTATCCAGTCTTCTCACTCAGTGCTCCTTTCAGAAATGCGGCAACACTCAAATGCTTTTAAGTTGATTTTAGGCCTCTTAGATGTGGTTTTTTGACCATTTTGTGCTTAAACTGTATGAGGTACTGTTCATAGGTAGAACTTTCAGTTGTGAACACATTCAATTTAGTCTAAAACTCATCAGGAAAGTTTTTTTCAAAGTTACCTAATAGAATAAGTCTTAAGCAGTTCAGCACAATTTTCAGTGCTCATATGTTCAGCCTAGGAGTAAAATAAAAACCAGCATTTAAGTATTTCCTACGTTTTTGATTTTTTTTTTGTTTTCTTTGATAATCATAACATTTTAAAGTGAAAAGGAATTTCAAGTTTAACTGATGTTTGGGTTTTGTGTTAAGCTGTGTTTTGCAATGAATTTTTATTATCAAATCCTAGAAGGTAAAGGTTCCAAATATAAATTGTCTCTTCATTCTTGGCTCACTGCTTTTGTCTCTCAGTTTGCTTATAAATTTGATTCTTCAACTTTCTTAGTTATTAGCCCTTTGTCAGGTGTAGTACATTACTCTTCTGTTTCCTTTCCTTCAAAGTATGTGATGTGCGGGTTGTGGGTGAACTCCAGTAACCTCTCTTGAAATTCCATTTGATCACCTTTTAGTAGTTCCTTCCTTCCTGTGTTTTCTTCATTTTCTGAGGGCATTGGCCAGAACTTCTGTGTGTTTGAAACGGGGTTAATGCATATCTTATTTGTGCCTTTTACGTGGATTTAGAGGAAACTCTCATATTTTTTGTGTTGCTTTTAGTCATTATTATGGAAAAATCTTCCTGATAACTATTTTTAGACTAAGGAATGAATCAGTTCAGTTCAGTTTCGTTGCTCAGTCTTGTCCGACTTTTTGCGACCCCATGAACTACAGCACTCCAGGCCCTCCCTGTCCATCACCAACCCCCGGAACCTACCCAAACTCATGTCCATTGAGTCGGTGGTGCCATCAACCATCTCATCCTCTGTCGTCCCCTTCTCCTCCTGCCCTCAATCTTTCCCAGCATCAGGGTCTTTTCAAATGAGTCCGCTCTTCACATCAGATGGCCAAAGTATTGGAATTTCAGCTTCAACATCAGTCCTTCCAGTGAACACCCAGGACAGATCTGCTTTAGGATGGACTGGTTGGATCTCCTTGATGTCCAAGGGACTCTCAACAGTCTTCTCCAACACCACAGTTCAAAACCATCAATTCTTCTGTGCTCAGCTTTCTTTACAGTCCAACTCTTATATCCATACATGACCACTGGAAAAACCATAGCCTTGACTAGATGGACCTTTGTTGACAAAGTAATGTCTCTGCTTTTTAATATGCTGTCTAGGTTGGTCATAACTTTTCTTCCAAGGAATAAGCATCTTTTAATTTCATGGCTGCAGTCACCATCGGCAGTGATTTTGGAGCCCCCCAAAATAAAGGCAGCCACTGGTTCCCCATCTATTTGCCATGAAGTGATGGGACCGGATGCCATGATCTTAGTTTTCTGAATGTTGAGTTTTAGCCAACTTTTTCACTCTCCTCTTTCACTTTCATCAAGAGACTCTTTAGTTCTTCTTCACTTCCTGCCATAAGGGTGGTGTCATCTGCATATCTGAAGTTATTGATATTTCTCCCGGCAATCTAAATTCCAGCTTGTGCTTCTTCCAGCCTAGCGTTTCTCATGATGTACTCTGTATATAAGTTAAATAAGCAGGGTGACAATATACAGCCCTGACGTACTCCTTTTCCTATTTGGAACCAGTCTATTGTTCTATGCCCAGTTCTAACTGTTGCTTCCTGACCTGCATATAGGTTTCTCAAGAGGCAGGTCAGGTTGTCTGGTATTCCCATCTCTTTCAGAATTTTCCACAGTTTATTGTGACCCACACAGTCAAATGCTTTGGCATAGTCAATAAAGCAGAAATGGATGTTTTTATGGAACTCTCTTGCTTTTTTGAAGATCCAGTGGATGTTGGCAATTTTATCTCTGGTTCCTCTGCCTTTTCTAAAACCAGCTTGAACATCTGGAAGTTCACGGTTTGGAATGAATGGGGTTTATGAAATACGCTTAGGATTGATATTGGAGAGTTTTTTTGTTTGTTTGTTTCATCTATAAATGTAATATTTTGCATTGTCCTTGGGTAGAATGAGACTTACATGTTTGGAGGACAGAGAAAAGTGAGTTAGCTCTGTGTGAAGTGTTCACTTGCTTTTTAGCCCAGAGACTCAGGCATATAGAATCTTGACTCTGGTGCATAAGAGTAATTTTCACCTAGAGCAAGTAAGAAACAACAAGCAGTTGATTATGGTCTGATTTTCTATTTGGAGAGGATACGCTGGGTTAGTGGTAACTCAGGTGAGTCCCAGCTGTGAATGGGCAGAAGACAAAGTAGCAGATACAGGTGAAGGATAATGACATCTGGGTGCACATGAAAGTTCTGTTTTGCACATTTGTTGTCTGGGTGGAACATGTGTATTAGGCTTCAATCTGAGGCTTTTGATATATCCTGTTTATCAATTTAAAAAAATAATCAAAGTTGTCAAATCCTGCAGGACTTCATAGTTATGTGCAAATCAAGTATACTTTTCAATCTCTTCTTTCAGTGTAACTTATGTGAGTCACCACTTGACAGTTCTCAAACAAACAATGAAAACCCTGCCCTCTGGTGGCAGGATCTTACAGACCTGAGTCAGGTGACTAACCTTGCTGCTAGTGGTTACCCTGGATAGGTTTCATGCCCATTCTTTTCAGATAAACCAAGAACAACAAATCAGATTTTAGCCAGATGTGACTTTTAAATAAGTGCATATATTACATATGTATGTTTATATCCAAACACCTTCCCAAGGCCTTACCTGATCTGACATCCCTACCAACCTCTGCATTCCCCTCTTGCCTCTCTTTCCCTCCAAATTGCTTCAGCCTCAGTGGCATTTGTGCTGTTTAAACACACGGAACCTGCTCCTGGACCTTCACACATACACTGTCTCTCTGACTGGCATTCTCCTCTCTGTTTCTTCATGTAGCTCATTCCTTCATATCCTGTAAGTCTCCACAAAGTACTACAAGCCCCAAAGAGGGCTTCCCAAGCTATCTTTTCTAAAATAGATCCTCCTTACTCTGTTGCTTTAATTTGCATTGTTTCCTCAGTTATGACTATCTGAAATTGAAGTCTTAAAAATCTGCTCTCCTAAAGGAATATAAAGTTCTATGAGAACGGAGACTTGGCCTTTTCATTACTCTTTGTAGATGAGTACCTAGCACATTGTAGGAACTCAAATGTTGATACTACATATGCTTATATTACACTGTGAAGGTACTGGGGAAATAAAGTCATTTGACAGAGAGAGGGACTTGGTATTAAAATTTTTTCCACATCTCCCCGGAACCGGTATATTCTTCTAGTGTGTTGGATAATACTTTATTGATAATTCACTTGACCTTTATAATTCAGGTTTATAAAAAAGTTAGTATCAAGATATAAATATGAAATGTAATCTTTTTTTTTTTTTTACCTGAAATTCTTGTAGATTCTACTTTTTCTACTAATGGAAAGAACAAATATAAAATACACTCCCCTACTACCAAAAAATAACTGAGTGGAGAATTATCTTGGTGACTATTCAAAAAACTACTTTTCCTTCTAGGTTAAACAGCTTGGGTAAAATAGAACCCAGTAATGGCTTTTGAAGATTATAGAGTACTCATTTGATCATGTTTGCTTTAGAAAGCTTGACCTTCTATAATTTAGTCCCAGTTTGAGTAAATGTTAGCATTAGGAAAATAGGGGATTTTTGGATTGGGGCAAAATATCACAGAAAATTATCCTAGGAATATAAATACATTGATTCTTTGGGGTTTTCTGTACTAGAGTATTATTGCCAAATAGTTTAATCTTTTTCAGCATAAAAAATAAGTATTGAAGGTTTATAAGAGAGAAGGGTGAATAGATATATTAGAATATATATAGATATATTAGAATACCATGGAGCTTTTTGAAAATAGATCTGTATGTAATGACCTTGAAACAAGTTGTTCATGATTTTTTCAAGTGAAAAATAGTAATCTCTGAAATATAAGTTTGTCTTTTTAAAGTCATATCTTGACTTTGCAACCTTTGCAACTGAATCCTAAGATTTAAAACTAATATGTTTATCTTATGGATGAGATTTCTGCAGTTTCCTATTACACATTTGCTTGTAGTTACAACCACTACTTGATTTTTTTTTCCTTGATAGAAAGCATATATACTAAACGCGGTTGACACTTTTCCCCCCAATTATTTGGAATTCTATTAGTATATTATGAAATGCTAACCTTTTTTTCTTCCGCTTGGGTACCATTTTAGAATTTTCTGAAAAAATTGGAACAATCTTTTATGTGTGTATGCTGCCAGGAGCTAGTTTACCAGCCTGTGACAACAGATTGCCTCCACAATGTCTGTAAAGTAAGTAGAATTCCTTTCTCATTTTCCCTTATTAGGCGAGGAGGCACACTAACCTCCAAACCTGTTTTTAGCTCATGAAAAAGCAGTTTTTTTCAGGAAGCAGAATAGATAAGGAACCTTGCTGGATAGGAAGCATTTAATTTCATCTTGGTGGTGAATGCATATTTTAATTCTACAGCAGTTCAAATCTATATAGTCTCCGTATTCTATCACATTTGAAATTATTGAAGATGAGTTGAAATGGAAAAGAAAGTAAGGTGTTGCTGGTGTCTTCTATTACAACTTACGTATGTCTCATATATTATAGTGCAAACTGGAATAATTCTGTGTACTTAACAGAATCTAGAACAAATTCTGTCTGGCAGCATGCTCAGAGGAGTTGTGTATTGCCTTATCAGTGTGGTATAAAAGGAATTTGAATTTTAGTCAAACCAAGGTTGGAATCTTGTTCAACTGCTTGGTGGTTATATGTCCTGACCTAACTTCTGAGGTTTAGTTTCTTTTGTAAAATGAAAACAGACTTTCCACATAAGTGTTTGTATCTGACCTTGAGTCAGTTAAATAGTATCTTTTTGGAAAACACATTATATAAAATAGATAATGTAGTTTTAAGGAGGGAATTCCTGAGTTGTTTTTTTTTTCTTTACTGCCCCGTCAGAAAAGATAAGGATTAAAATCCAACCTAGGTGAGGCTAGTGGGAACCATGCAGAATTCTAACACTCATTTCACTGAATGTGGAAATTTATATAAAAATTGTCATTTGCCTGAAGTCTCACAGCATGTGTTAGAGGTGGAACTGAAGCCTTGTCTGTAAGTTCATTTTCATACTGCAGGTTCAGGTCTTGACAGTTGTTCATCTTTTATGTTTCTCTTGTTTCCAAACAGTAAGTTTCTAGTTCTATTCAAAAGCCTAAATTGTTGAGTATTTTCTATATGCTTTACCCTCGATGAAATCAGATGTGTTTACTTTTCATTTTGTTTTTGGTTTTGCCTTAGGATTGCTTGCAGCGCTCCTTTAAGGCTCAGGTGTTCTCCTGTCCTGCTTGCCGGCATGATCTTGGCCAGAATTACATCATGATTCCCAATGCGGTTCTGCAGACTCTACTTGACCTTTTCTTCCCTGGCTACAGCAAAGGACGATGATCTATCCACTACTCTGTTGCTCCTCGTGGCTTTTTGGACAATAAGGAATCTAAAATGATTGGGGGTGGTTGGGAGGGGTGGAAGCAATGGTGGACCATATCTCACGTTCTGAAGCAGCTAATCCTCTTTCCTACATAGCCATCATCTTGTGTGTGTAGTAAGAGGCCCATTTCTCAACTGTCTTTTAAATATCAAAAGGTAGTTCTTGTCAGTTAACAACTAGTTTAATGAGTAAGAAGACAAAGCCTCAGCTCTAGTTGATATCCAAGTTATGATTTATTTTGCAACTACCTCAGGACAGAAAAGATTTATGGGGATTTTTTAAATCATTGAGAAATTAGTTAAATGAAATTTTAGCTACACACTGCCTCCCAAAAATTAGTTGTGCCTGGTTCATGTAATTTGATTTTAGAAAAGGAAGTGACACTTGAGATTGTTGGAATGAACGCAGCTTCTGTAGTGTGCATAATACATTTTTAATGTCTTCTTCCATTACAGTGTGTGTTTTGCAAGAACAGGTTCATTTTTTAGCCCATTTTGTGAGCTCCATTGTGCTTTTTTCTGGTGTTTTATGCAAGTTGACTACTAATGAAAACAATATGAATGCATTGTTGCTGCATTAGTGTAATGTGGTGTGGTTTTGCACTTAAAAGAGGTATTCAGATGATCTAGTTGTAAATTTCATGAAAAGCCTCTTCTGTACTAGTCAAACTGCTTTTAGTGAGTCTCACCAGTGGTTTTACATCTGCAGAACATTGAGGACTGGGCTGAGTTTTTGAGAGGATTGAAATTGCTTCATATTGTGATCCTAAATTTTATATTCACTATATTCCCTAAAGTATACCTTAATAAATATTTTATGATCAGAAAAAAATAGCTCATCTTGCTTTTTTACATTTGTCTGCCTTACATTTGTAGGTATCTTTAAGAATCAGTCACTTCCAGAGTATTTCAGTGTGTGTTTTTACTGAAACAGACATTATGCACAATTTTTTACTCTTGATTTTTGGTATTGAGAACTAGTATGAAATCTTAAGTACTCAAGGACAGATTTCACCCTGAATTTGATCTTCTTTTTATTTCCCCCAATTATTTTTATTAGTTGGAGGCTAATTACTTTACAATATTGTAGTGGTTTAAGCTCAAACACGGTGATTGGAGCTACTGTCAGTGAGGGCTAGTTTTAAACACTGGAGTCATTTTTATTTTGAATAAATTAGGTTGAAAATGAATCATTAAATTGCATCATCTGGTGTTGGTCATATTGATGCATGAAGAGTGGGGAATACCTTCCAGTTTCAATTACTTGATCTGGTTTTACTACTTTTATTAGGAAAATAAAGGATTCCCACATTTATGGTATCTGTCTATTTAACTTTGCTATAGAATGATAGACTGTGAATAAAAAAATGATTACAGTTTAACATGTTCAGAAGTGTCAAGAATGTCTCAAAGCTAAACAGTTTTATGTTGCTCAAGCTTTTTTTGAAGACTTCAAGTTTTTTTAACATAAATATAAAGCATAGGAAGTTTAAAAAATTTAATGGTAATTATATCCTCAAATCTAGTAAATATTTGTTCAAATTTCTCTTGTCTCAAATATCATACATGGATATTTAAGTTTGTTTGATTCAGGACCCAAACAGACTTTAAATTGTTACTAATTGCTATCTTAGTATCTTTAATTTGTGTTTATCGCCTGAATCTTTTTTTTTTCTTTGCCTTTTACAGTTTGCATTTTGAAATGTCAAAAGCCTTTCAAACAGAATAGATTTTGCCAGTAGTAACCATGTGGTACAGTTAACCTGTTTCTCTTTATTTTCTATAAGTTAGTAGTTAGAATTCAAGAGTGACCAGATTTAGACTTAAAAGTGTGGCTGGGTAGGCAGCAAGACTTCTTCATAAGTGTTGTAGTTGTCCATCAGGAAGGTGGAACATATTTGGTTGTCTCTTAGGCATAAGTTTGAATAATGAGATTTTTACTGGATTCCATTACACTTAGTAAGTTATAGCGACTGCTAAGCACTTAGCCACTTTCTTAAGGGCAAGAGTTTAGGAATTTTCTTTTTTCTAATTAGAGTAGGCAGAGCCTCTAGCTTTAGAACTTACTTCAGTGACCAGAATGACTGTGGTGACCATCAGCTATACTTTCCACCAGCTGTTTCCGGCTCAACTGCATATGTTAGGATTATATATCCCAGCCTCCTTGTGGTTGGCTGGGACTATGTGACCAGTTAGTTGTGACATAAGTGCTGTGTCACTTCTGGGCAGACCATTTAATTGCCCTCCAGAGCTTTTTCTCCCTTCCATGGAGGCAAGTAGCATCCAGATAAATGTTTTGTATCAAAATGGGGTCCCCAGCCAACTTGTGATATACATGCAATACAAGTGTGAAGTACAGTTTAAGAGCCTAAGGTTTTTGAGTTTCTAACACATGACCCAGCCTTTGCTGACTAATAGCATCCTTAAACTCCTCAGGCAACCAGTAGATAGGAGATTGAATTTAACTGATCTTTTTAATACTTTTGAACTACAACTTCTACTGTTTTTAAACTAAATTCCTAAATATCCAAATTAGTTGATAAAGCTATTGATAAATTCATTGGTAGTGTGGTAGGCAACCTCTACGATGGTCCCCAGTGATCTCTACCTCCAGGGCTTCATGCCCTTTGTAATCTCCCCTCTGTGAGTGTGGGCTGGAATGCTTTCATCTTGTTCATGTAAGGTAATGAACAAAGGGATGTTACTTCCAAAGATAGGTACTGTGGCTTCCTCTTGGGCACCCTCTCTTACTCATTCTGGGAGAAGCTAGCTGGCATGTTTTAAATTACCTTACAGAGAGGCTTATGTGGCAAGAAACGGATGTCTCCAACCAACAGCCAGCAAGGAGGTGAGCGTGGAAATGGCTTCTCCTCCACTCAAGGCTTGAGCCTCTATGACTCAAGTATATGCTTGATAAATATGCTGTTTTTCACATTGTTCATCCCCTATTGGTAGTTATTTTTCTCTACCCTCTTTTAAGATTTATCTCTGTCTTTTAAATTTTCAGAAATTCAATTATGATCTGACTGAGCTTGGGTTTCTTTAGGTTTATCTTGTTTGAGGTTCTTTCAGTTTCTTGAATCTAGATTTTATCTTCTGTCAGATCTGGAAACTTTCCAGCCATTATTTCTTCAAGTGTGATTTCAGTCCGGAACATTTTTTTCCTCTCCTTCAGAACTTTAATGACATGAATGTTGGTTTTGTTATTGTCCCACAAGTCTCTGCAATTCTGTTTGTTTTTATTCACTTTATAGTTTCTAATCGTTCAAATGAGGTAATTCTTAATGATCTCTAGGTCTGCTGATGATTTCCTCTGTCATCTGCATGCTGCAGTTGAACCCATTCGGTAAGTTTTTTTTTATTTTTTAGTTCCAAACTTCCTGCTTGGGTCTTCCATATATCTTTTACTCAAGTTTATGTGATGAGTAACTTTGCATTGGATCCTACACAGTTTGAGTATTATGCAAATCTTGTATTTAAATCTTCTATTTTATAAGGCCAACTGTTCAGGTTCAGTGGGGTTCAGCCCCACTTTTGTGGCTCAGTGTCAATTTTCAAGGCCTTTGCAGTGGTATTCTGGTCCACTTCAACTTGGATGCTACCTGAAGCCAGTTGAAACCTGGGCAGCAGTCCACTCATAGTTCATTTTGCTATGTTGATTATGGTGACTTTCTTGTGTGGTCTGGTTGAGGGTGTGCCCAGGACTTCATTAACACATTTAAAGGAACCCTTTCTCTAGCTTCTTTGTCTCTGTAATCCTCCCTCAGTCTCTGTAGTTAGGATGGCTGAGATGCTGCCTTTTTGAGGCTGGTCACTCAGTTCAGGGCAAGGAAGGTCCACAGGGCTCCTCCTATAGTCTTGCCCACATCCAGTGACTGGGGAATGTGTGTTCACTTGGAGTGGGGCAGGTATAATCAAATTAATAATCTCATACATATCACCCTTTTCCCACCCTTTGGTTGATAAGAGCAGGCTTTTAGTATTCTTCATCTGCACCCACTGATGTTTTCAGGTTTTAGATGTTTTTTGCACCCAAGTCAAAGGAAAGTAAAAATGTGGCATAAGAAAACACCCAGGAAACTTCCAGTTCATTCCTCAAGTTCCAAAGTGACTATCCAGGTGACCACCTTTTCCCGACCATTCAGGATCTTTAGATAGCTTTATAGAATTCATCCATGGTTTTTAGTTATATTTAGCAGCAGGAATAAGGTGAAATATATATACTCCATCTTGTATGGTACTCAGAGTCCACCAACTTCAGTTCAGTCACTCAACCCTGTCGGACTCTTTGCAACCTCATTGACTACAGCACGCCAGTCTTCCCTGTCCATCACCAACTCCCAGAGATTACTTAAACTCATGTCCATTGAGTTGGTGATGCCATCCAACCATCTCATCCTCTGTTGTCCCCTTCTACTCCTGCCTTCAATCAATCCCAGCATCAGGGTCTTCTCCAGTGAGTCAGTTCTTCACATCAGGTGGCCAAAGTATTGAAGTTTCAGCCTCAGCATCAGTCCTTCCAGTGAACATTCAGAACTGATTTCCTTTAGGATGGACTGGTTGGATGTCCTTGCAGTCCAGCGGACTCTCAAGAGTCGTCTTCAGCACCACAGTTCAAAAGAATCAATTCTTCCACTCTCAGCGTTCTTTATAGTCCAACTCTCACATCCATACATGACCACTGGAAAAACCAAAGCTTTGACTAGATGGACCTTTGTTGATAAAGTAATGTCTCTGCTTTTTAACATGCTGTCTAGGTTGGTCATAAGTTTTCTTCCAAGTAGTGTCTTTAAATTTCATGGCTGCAGTCACCATCTGCAGTGATTTTGGAGCCCAAGAAATAAAGTCTGTTACTGTTTCCACTGTTTTGCCATCTCTTTGCCATGAAGTGATGGGACCAGATGCCATGATCTTAGTTTTCTGAATGTTGAGTTTTAAGCCAACTATTTCACTCTCCT